AAAAAAAGATAAGTATGGTATTGAGACACAAGACGGAGCTACCACCGGACATCAAAATAGGGGGGGGGGGTCGAAGTAGGGCTCGAACCACTAACGGTTGGACTCCACAAAGCATGATAACGACAGCGGTATACATCGCCTAATCCCCCCTGCCAACGATCAACTACAGCACACACCGTACTTCCCCATGAGTACAACTGAATTCTTCAAAGTTTTCATGAAAACTTTCACCTGATTCAGTGAAAAGTTGAAATATGCGGTATTTGTTGAAGCCCTCGGTGAATTCAAACCCGTAGAACCTGATACAACCCAGTAAAACAAACCTAGGCCGGAAATAAAGGAAAATAAATAAGAACGTGAACGTGAACATCACAAACATACAGCTTTGTGCCTATAACGGCGAGGGAGAGAGAGAGAAAACACTCACATGGAACAGTCGAAACAGTGCACGACCACGTTTGGCCACAAGACGAAGAAGACAATCAAACGCCGCCCCGTCCGACGTTTCCGAATACGGTAGACAAATGGCGAAGGTGAAGAAATCCAACAAGGCACACAACACGACAGCACCGGTCCCACGAAGCTGGCAGTCGTAGTGACAGAGAACAGGAAACACGAGTGTGAAAACAATATCTGGTTGTTGTGGGACTTCTGTCGGATCGAAGTCCGAAAAACGAATAACTCGTAAGCTTTTTTGTGATTAAACATACGTTAGACTCAGACTACTGTTAAATTCAACTCCTCAGAACCGTTTACGCATTTTGTGAGTAAAACCACTAACCCAGTAGTGCTTCCGTCCATCGGTTAGCAAGCCGCTATTTTTCGTTTACCTGTTTCGCCCATCAATAAGGACGATGAACAGGGTGAATATCTTCACTGAATTAAATCAAGGAATAACATTGTGTAGGATACATCAAACGTGAATAATCGGTTAAAATTTCCCGATTTCCTACTGCTAGTCTTTCAAACACCAAGGAATATTGGCAACAATTAGCGACAGACACGTACAAACATGATGATAAGCAAATACTCATTCCCTGACCACCCCACCCCCGTCCGGTACCCTGACGACAACGGGGGGAATGAGGTGAAGAAGCTAGTCTTGAAATGCCTACAACCTGTTTCACTTATCAAAACAACATAACAAAGAAAGCGTGAAAACGTTTAAAGTAGTCTGCAGTTATTTAGATCTTATTGATGATCCAGGCAATCAGTCTTGACAACTAAACCGGCAGTCATACACCTATAACTCCAACTTGTTGCTTGTCCACAACCTTTGAAACACGCCACGAATCTGATTTCCGATCCGAATAATTGCCATCGAATTCGGAGCTTTTCTCTCATTTTTGTCCACCTGTCCTGTACATTGGCAACTAGTAATCCCTGTCAGATTTACTACGCTACATGTCTTCCTTCTCTCTCTTTCAATCTTCACCCCACTCACCCCCTTGAACCGGTAACCGATCGGGTACTCAAATTTTTCCAGTCTTCTCACACGTTTAAAATCTCTCAGTTCTTAAACACAGGATCTATAAACTCTTGCTGTTCGATGAATCTTCCTTTGATGCTGACGTTAACCCGAAATTGCTTGCTCTAATCGGTGCACCATCCGGAGATTTCGCCTGATTTAACACACATCTTAGATTGTCAGTCATTCCAACGGTACCGTGAAATCTTGGGTCTATTTATGTATGCACCACGAACCGTATCGGGGGTTGGATGGGGGTGTGTATCAACCACAGTGATCATGTACGTACCGCATGCAATGTGAATATGTCCACCAGACGTGACATGAATGTCTCACTGGACATGATGGACGTTTTGTTCAGCTGTTCTTGTCGAATATCCGGCTGTTCGTGCATGGGTTGCATCAGGGTGTTGATCGCGTCCAGGACCGCGTGAGTGACCGCATCATCTCGGCGTCGCAGAGCGTCCACGACAATTCGGCCCAGAGTAACTCGCATGCTATGTCACAGGGAAGATAAGAAAGAGGATAGGGAAAGGAGCGACATCTGAGAGCCACAAAGCGGCGAGGTGGTACAACAAATCGGTTTACCGTAGTGCTAGTTCAACTCGAATTCCAAATGAGTATTTCTATGTGATTGGGTAAAAGGTCCTAAACATTTAGATGCAATGTAGTGACAGTCTGTGCGATGGTCTGATGTGATTGTGTTGCATTTTTCGTTCGTGTTTAGGAATGATAACATACTAAGTATTTATTTTTTACACAATCTATGTGATCAACGGAGTGGTCTGGGTCTGGAAACAATACCTGACTGTGAAATAAAAATTTGAAGAAGTAGGGGCAGAGTGACCAATTATCAATTACGATACCATTGGGAGCGGAAGAGAAAACACTGATCGATAATCACGAATAAGACGTGCAAATTATTGGGCATTAAAACGATAGATTGCATGGTTGTGTTTATTTGTTTGTTTAAATATTCGCCGTTTGCGTGGGAAGGGAACAATCAACTATCTCATACGGAACAAATATGTTTTGCCTGGTACAACCAGGCCATTGCATTACTAAAGTACACAGTTTTGTACTTCAAAATCAATCGATTAGCATTTGGTTTAGAAGTTCAAAAGCGCGCACACACACAGTTGTCGTGAGTAGGCACCAATGATCGGGATAGATCCAGACGAACAACACTTTTGTAAGGACGGTCTACTAACATGAGTTGTGATGAGCATGGTTGGCCAACACGAGCCTGTCTCTACTGCACATTATTGTGTGATGAAAAGTGGAGTGAGTGAAGCTCATAGTCACCAACATCCACCATGATAACGAGCATTTGAAACCTCGGGACTGAGAGGCGCGAACCACCGAAGACTCTCCTACACGTAGGTGAAAGCGTGATATGGACGAAATCGGACGAAACCACCAAGTGGAAAGAAGAAAACCGCAAGGCGGAGAGAATTGTTTCCNACACTCCCATATGCGGTTCGGTAATTTAAAAGATGGGTTACGAAGCACGAATCGGGTATCCTGGTACGCTAAGGAACAGCGGAGAAGTTTGCCTAACGAGTAGATCACCCCCTTCAGGCTGACCAGGAAAATCGATTCAAACATTTCATTTAGATTTAACACATTCCGGATTCTCACTACTAACGTTAAACTCGACCACCTGTTCTACCAAGTCATCCAACACGGTCTCTGAATTCGCGAAATGGGTACGACAATCAGATGCACTCAACGAGATGACGTCGCACACCTACCACGTTGACTGCAGACGTGGATAGGTAAACGTTCAGTTCACTTTCCAAGAGGCTGGTATTCTTTGTATTTCTCAATGCAACGATATGAACGCACAGGAAGTATCACATTTGTTATGGCCACTACCAGTAGGGTACATGTGTAACACAAGGTTCTTTCACCAGATGTGTGATCATCGCAAGCTTGGTATGATCGACCACGAGAAGATCTCAAATGCAATGTCTTACATACGTCCCTTGATGACCGGTAATCGATTTCATGCTAAGTATCTTTCCCACGTTCTTGAAACACTGATACAAGCTTGATGAGAAAAATATCGACCAACAAGCAGTGTCTGAAAGTTAGAAACAGCTCTACTAATGCATTATTCGTGTTGTAGCAAAAACTAAAGCAGCTTTCGACAACCTGCGACACCTGTGGCACTACCATGAAATCCTACCGTCCCTTAAGGGAAGGGCGTACATCGCCGCGATTCGTAGCTTTCTACTTTAAGGTTGTGAGACCTGGCCTCTCCACATTGAGGACGCAAATCGACTTTCTCTATTTGACCACCGATGTCTCCGAAGTATTTATTGCTCGTGTCTGTTGGGAACACCGGATGAGCAATGACGAGGCTCGTCGTCCTGTGTTGGGTGTGGATAGTCGCTCTCTAACAGAAGTAACCTCTCTCTCGCCTCCAATAGCTTGGTTTATCCATGGGCTACATTTCCGTGCTCTCTTTGCACGTGACGGGCAAGGCAGGAAGAAGCGCCGCGGCGATCAGATCATGACACGGCGCACGGTTATGAAGAAGCTCGCTTGAGCTTTGGCTTCGGTTGGTGCAGTCCGTCTTCCAGATTGGGGCCCAATGGGTGAGGATGGTCGTTCGTTAGAGATGCTGAAAGATATGGCACAGAATAGAACTCAGTGGTGCGAATGCTGTGCGGTCTGCTTATTGAAAACCCCTTTCCCATAAAAAAAGGATAAACTAACGCAAAAAAATATCAAAAAGTGTACTGTGAAACAAACAAACAAAATTGTTCTTCTCATTTTTTAACTTAACTCTTTTTACTCTCCTTTGTCCCCCAACCCCTATTTTCTGTTACTCTTGTGTTGCGTTGGCACCAAGCTTGCTCACAAGCCGGTGATAAATAATAATATATGATATCATTCGTGTTGAGAACTTTTGTGCTAAATGTATGGTACAACCGATAGTACTTATGACTGAACTGGATCATCTCAAAAGATGGAACGGTAAATCAGTTTCAGTTTTTACAACCATTAAATATGCGTCATCGTGTCGCAGTTTTGGTTGCTGTCTTTTGGTCGTCTATATGAACAACAGAGCAGAAGGAAGTTTGGAATATTGGAAGCATATGAAAAGTGAAAATGGAGAATGCACATGGACTAGGGATGCGACGATGATGAGTAGATACATAAGTGCCACTGTTTGCGACAATCATATCGCTCAATATCTCCAAACACCAGTTACGATTGGTACGAGGGCTGAGCAAGAAACGTTTCCGGATACGCAGTACAAGACGAGTACGAGGTGCAGATGACCGGGGGTAAGGAAAACGTAAACTGTAATCTATTGTGAATATTGCTCAGTGGTTGCAACTCACACACAGAACTAAATACTAACACAGCCGAGAGCACAGCTTACAAGTCATACGAGGGTCTCCATATACTCGAACTGTAAGGATGGAACACAGTCAATGTCACTGTAGGGCGATGAGTTTCTACAATTACAAATATGGTTTAAAGCAGCAGTAGTAGTAGTAGTAGTAGTAGAATGTTGATCGTTTGCGAGCTGCCTTTGGTGATGACGCACCTTCAAGAAGCACTGCATTTGAGTGGTTTGCGGAAATCAGGCCTGGCAGGCGGTTCCTCGATTATGAGACACCGTTTGGTCGACTTGTGGAAGTCACCACAGCGGACAACCTGGCTGCTGTGCAAGTGATGGTGGAGGAGGATGCGCGGGTGACAGTGTCACAGTTGACGAAAGCCATCAGGATCTCACCGGAATCCATCCGCACCATCCTGCGTGAGAACCTAGGCCCAAGAAAGTTTTTCAAACGCTGGATACCCCACTAGCTCAATAAGGAACAGAAAGAAGTTCGAACGAATTGGTGCCGTGCCATGCTTGTTAGATTTAATGGTGGACGTTTCAATCGATTTCGGGAAATCATCAGTGGTGACGAAACCTGGGTGCACTGTTTCGACCCAGAGACCAAGCAACAATCGGCTCAGTGGACACCAGTTGGTGGAACGCCACCTCAGAAATTTCGACGCGACCGAGTGGGGTAGACCAGATGATGGCTGTGTTCATGGTGAAAACTGCCATGTGGCTACTGTACCGCTCGTACAGCAAAGCACCATCACCAGAGACTGGTACGCCACCCACCGTCTGCCGAAGGCACTGGAAGCTGTTGCCAGGCCTCATCCAATGACTCGAGCACAAGGGACCTTGCTGCAAAATGACGACGCAAATGCACACACGAGCAATATTGTCGGCGATTTTCTGGCTAGAGAATCCACCCAGGAGGTTGAGCACCCACTCAAGACCCAGCTCCGTGTACCATTTTGTGTTCCCTTATGTCAAGCGCACGATGCGTGGAATCCGATAGGAATCACTAACAGCTGCACTGAAGGCTTTCATTGAACTGGTCGAAGAGTTACCCGCTTCGGCATAGTCGAGCTGTTTCATCAAACGGTTTGAGCGCATGTAACGGCGTTCATGAACGCTGGTGGAGAATACTTAGAAGAAATTTGATGCTTATTTTTGTGTAACAAATAAAACTTTTTGTGCACCCGGAAACTTTCTTCGCTCAGCTGAGAATATAATCGCATTTGCCCAAACCGACCGATTTTGATGGTGAGAAAACAGGGGGAAACTAGCACGAGAATAAAGACGGTATGTATCTATTAAGTATTTTCGTACATATCATGGAGAACGTTTTGATCCCTGGTCTTTATGGGACTAATTGACCTACATCTGCATGCACACATCATGTCAGATAGTCTAGGCAGGATTGTGGTCACTATAGGAACAATACCATGTACTGACTTAAGTTGAAACAGCCCCACAGTTAAAAAAACAGTGCGGCTTGAAATCCCAAGTAAGAATTGAGTAAAACAACGTTTTCATTTTATGTTGGGTTGAGTAACTCAAAGAAACAAGTAAGTACCCTGGGGGGCCTCTATAACCGACTAATGTCTTATGAAAAACATATTTGTGAGAGAAAAAATCCGGCAAACGTAGCCGTGAGCGGAAGAATACTGGGTGAACAAAAAAAAATTTGTTAATATGGTTGTTTGGTAGATTGAAGTCTTATGTCGAGATTGTGAAAATTTCTGTAGCCTCGGTGGGATTTGAACCCACCAGGCATGGACGCCGCCTACGTTTTGTACAGCACACGCTCTACTAGCTGAGCTACGAGGCCAAAACGATAGCACTGATTCAATAAATTCCGACATAATTTACAGGGGTAAATTAGAAAATGAGTGGGGCTAAAGTGTTGGACGAAATCGAACGACTCAAGAACTCTGTACGTTCTAAGCAATTACATAAAATCCACAAGAATAAGTTTGAGTATATCACGTTTCGTGCTAATGTTCTGCACTTTCCCTGCACTTTTCCTCATCTTTCTTTGCTTCCAAAAGCCTCAGTATGGTCGGGGTGGGAGTGAGTGTCTGGGGGTTGTGGCTGATCACCCTTCCCTTGCGCCTCGTGAAATGCTCCATACAACCAAGCGTCTAGAATAGCCTCTGCTTAGAAAGCCCTACTCACGGCCTTCTCGTGGTAGTGGTGTTTTCCCACCAAAGTGAGAGGATGAAAAGCCGACATCCGGGGCTATAACCGGGTTGGTGAACCACTAGGGGATTTGTCTAAAAACCCTGATTCCAAATCAGCCAAGAGGAGGCGTGCGACTACCAACACACACACACACAAACACCTTCCCGGTTGTGACAATATTTACCGGTTCAGTTGGATACCTTGGACATTTGATCCCATCCAAAGGACGTATGATCCGATGAACTGGACACCGGTCCCCAATGGATTGCGATTTTCACACACCGCCCCGCTGCCTTGTGGGTCGGGCTTTGGCTAGCCGAAGGCTCCGGCTATGGATTCAAGCAAATTCATCTGTCTTTTTATAGAAACTATCGTACCATGAGTTGTTTGGCACGGTCTGAATTTATACGTAACATTTCCTCGCCCACTGATTTCATTCAAACCTCTGCTAATAACTGCTATCAGTAGGCCATTCTGACTCACTTTTCTTTCCACTCGATTCAAGCCAACACTGGCAATGCTCGGGGGCGTCGACCTCAATGTCTCCATGAATTCTAGTCTTATTGGTGCTCGGGTCTGTCGCAAAAGTGCATTGCGCTCACTGGGTCAGAACACATCATTCCAAAAATAGTATACAGAGACAACCTACCCCGGGAGTTGAGTAAATGCATTAAAGCCAGCCTTGGATGCAACCAAACGACGCAGTGCATGAAACTGTGCCTCGAGTAGGATCAGATGCAAATTCGGATCGACCGGGAGCACCGGGGATTGTTTGTCCACCGTACGAGATCCGACAGCGGGCAACGAGTCTCGCAATGAGGCATCCGTACCGGGCGGAGGGTGCGTGAGAATGGCGGACAGCGCGTCCTTGATCAACTTCTCCTTGTTCTCAGCAAATACGCCCTGCATTCAAATTAACCAGGACAAATGCAGTTCGACAGTGCAGTGGAAGGGTTGAAACAGGATACTCCTGTTTACGTGACCCAGGTGAGTGACAAATAGCACTTGATAATTGGATGCACCAGTGGAAACAAAATCATGAAAGACAACGAATAATCCGTGAAGGACAGAAGAAAAAATAAGGTCTTTACCATCCGGAAAGAGATGTGTCAATCACGAGCTCCCTTGATAAGAATCGATCAAGGCTGAAAGTAACCAATCGATAGGGATGACTGATATCAGCTTAAATAATTGAAAACATTTTTAAGTAAAGCAACTAAAATTCTGAGTTAAATAACATCAATAAATTATGAGAATTTTTCTTCATCATTCCATGCAGCCTAGGTTGAATGCAAGGAGACTGGAGTTATTCAATCAATAAGGGATTATTTAAAGATAGCATAATCGATTAACGAACCGGTCGGTGGGAGGTTGTTAGCACCTTATGTGTCCTACTGCAACAGCATAGACCTGATTCAGAGAGTTTACAGGAAGCCTGTATTCCATGGGATCACCGAGTGGATAAGCCATTGGCAGTTTGCCGATAGGAGTCAGGAAAGCATAAGTTAAGATTTCCGGGAACAATACTTACGGGAATTTCGTAAGGGGCTGCTAGGAAGGTTTATTGTTACCGTAACCAGATACCTGACTCAATAGATTGCGAAATTAAAGGAATGTATCGTCACGTTGTTCAACCGAAAGTTTCACTGTGATTTCGGCCAGTCGGTAGTCTCGTTGTGGGCACTAGAAGTAAAGTGACGGAGTTGATGATCTCCTGCACAATTGTTGTCCTCTAGCATTTTACATTTGGAGTCAGAGAAAATTTATACAAGGATGGTGGGTGCGTGACTGAAAGCCAGAAGGGTCGTAAACCCAGTTATCAAAGAAAACCGAGGTTGAATAGATCGTTCTAGAAAATTCTGGGTCGGAAGAAGGAAATCGTGACACAAGACCGGCTTTCAGTTGTTGATACAAACCAGATGAAAAAACTGAGTATTGAAATATAATGGTAGCTTGGAATAGTAGAAAACCCAATTCGATACGTTCAATTTGTCCTCTTATATGGCGTTTTATTGTTAATGACGGGTATAACAGAACAAAGTTGACAATCACGAGAATCTACAATTCGGGCTAGGAAAATCGGGAATCCAGTGCATAGAACCGAAAATAGAGCAACTACATTCCATCCAAATGAGATCGAAGAACTAAGGATCATTTCTAATTAAAGAATTCACGGTTGTCATGATAAGAAAAGATCGAGAAGTTAATCACAGAACGAGGTTTAAAAATGATGAAACTGTGTGGGTGGGTATGTAAAATTCGGAAATAAGGAAACGGAAAACCACGAGCGAGTAAAACTAATAATTAAGGTCAAGAAACTACACTGAACCAATAGAGATGACTTTCATTTAAGTTAAGAAACTGTTTCATGTAGTAGACAATTTTTAGAATGAGATAGAACAAGAGATCTATGTCAAGTCGGAGAAGGCATAAAAAGCAAATGGACAGACTCGCAGTGAGAAATAAAAATGATCACAGGGGGACTTACGTCTTGCGTCACGGAAAATATCAGACCACTGTAGGGAACGTTCGCATTGAATCGTTGTAGAACCTCCCAGAAGGAAATACCCTCTGCAGACATGAGTGACAGACATCGGGGGGGGGGGGGGGATGGGGATACGGA